ATAATAATGCGTTTTTATTTTAATCGTGCAGAATTCTTTTGAGGTGACCACACCGAATAACGCCACATTTCATACCCCCCGGAAGTGGGAGAGAGAATTAAAAAGGCGGGAAAAAAATTTCAAATTTTCCTTACGGGTCAGAACGATTTCTTTTCGCATCTACGGCTGCCAAATCCTTGCACTGTTTCACGTGAATTTCCAAATCTCCCGCTTTGTAATTGTACTGAAGACCGAATTCAACCTCTCCCCTAACCGGTACCGAACAGGATCGTCCTTCTCCGGCTCCGGAATAAACGCTCGCCATGGAATCGCTCCTCGCCTGAAAAAAACAAAAAAAATTTAAACATTTGTAATGGGTACATCGATGGTATCATTTTTAAACAAGACCGACAAACAAACAAACAAACAACCGAACAAACGATACGTTTTCTTTTTTCGCACGCCATATAAAATCCCCTTCAAAAAACAAAAAAATACCAAAAATGATTCATATACTTGTTCATTCACGTGCCCATGGACTCAATAAATAAAAAATCATTTTTCAACCTTTAAACAAACAACAAACACAACAACCACACACAAACGACTAACCTTTTCTTCGTGAACAAATAATAATAATAATAACAAAAATTGGGTATTTAATGATTTCATTATTATTATTATTATTATTATTATTATTATTATTAATAATTTTGGAACGTTTTCTTTATTTTTCGTTACGTTTTCAATCCCCGAAAAAAAATTAATAATAATAATAATAATTATAAACAGGACGTTGAAGGAGAATGAGAAGGAGAGAGTGGGAAAGATAGAGAGAGAGAGAGAGAGAGAGAGATCAAATTCTCATCAACTCTCATTTTCTGTTAAATGGGGGAATCATTTCCTGCCTACGTACAAAACGACCGTGGCATTGAACGTCAACACAAACAAACAAAGTAAAAAAATAACATTCTTACGCGAGCAACAAGAAGAAGAAGAAGAAGAAGGAAGAAAAGAATCAAAAGAGGAAAGAAAAACTCAAAGAAATTAAAAAGACGAAGGAGAAGAAGAAGAAGAAGAAGAAGAAGAGGAACTAGGAAGTAATGATATGGTCAAAAGAGAAGGTCAAAAACTTAATAAAAAAAAAACAAAAATATCACGAGCGATTAAGTTGGTATTGTGTAAACGTTTTTCCATTTTCTTTCCTTTTCTTCTTTTCCTTTTTCTTCTTTCCTTTTTTCCTTTTCCTTT